GAAATGACCTCTGCGTATAGCACTTAACACACAAAGATTATCCAAAAGCCTGTTCGGGTAACACTGAGGGATAGCCGGCCTGGCTTCAAGAAGCTGCGGAGAACATGAAAATAATTTCTTTCCACCGCTCAATCCAAGTTCAGGAGCACCTTAAAGAGACCAACAAGGTTTCCAGGGGATCGGCTTCCAAGCGAAGCACCTGTGTCAGATACAAGTAGGAATAGCATTTATACCTGTATGTGATCCAGGGAGTTTTCGCTCTTGAAAACATATTCCCCCAATCTTGTTTTTAAGGTGCGACCGAACTCCGGTCTCACCCCTACCTCTCGTTCCTAAACAGCTCAAGACTAACACAGTGATTGAAACCCAGTTTTATTTGAAATATATATTTCCACCAAGGTAAGGATAACAACAGTATAAATCACTCATTGAAAAGGAAACACAGTTACAATAGGGAAACGAGCACTGGGAACGTACAAACGAAGGCTCGTAAAATATATATATTTATAAATCCAGTGCTGAGGCAGTTCTGTGAAAACTTTCTGCTTCCATATTCTTGGCACGTTGCTGTCTGGTCGAAAACCGGTTCCTGCCGTTCCTTCCCTTAAAATTCAGCGTAACGGTGTCAGTTTCCATATCGGCCTTGGGGGAAAGGACAAGCTGTTCCAACTTCGGAAAGCCCCGTGTTCCATTTCGGCCACTTCTGTATCGAAGCAGCCCCTTTGCTCGGTTTAAAGCGTGGCTGACATTAACTGGAAAAAGAAAAGTTACCTCCATGAAAGACCAGGAGAAGGCAAAACAGTGCACAGTATGCAAAATTCAAAGAGCCCGGGCGCACAAAAGTATAAAAGTTTGCTTCGCGGGTCTCTTAATTCCACCTAAATGGAAGGATACGCTCATCTATTTGTTTACTTTATTTAAAACATTTTTATGCCGCCTTTCCAGCCAATCACAGCACACAGGAAAACATTAAAACATCATTTATAATTTTTAAGTCATTCAGTAAAAAACAGGAACCAGGGAGGAGGACCAATTAGTGGTTATTGGGGGTCTGCCAAACAAAAGAAATTTTTACCCTCTGGCAGAAGACACCGATAGTGGGAGACAGAGAAAGCTCCCTGGGGAGGGAGTTCCAAAGTTTTGGTGCTACGACCGAGAAGGCCCTTTTTTCAGATTGCCACCTGTCCAGCCTCAGATGGTGGGAGCAACCAAAGCAGGGTCCCCAAAGATAACTGGAGTGAAGAGGTAGGGCATGGGCCCCCAACTTGGCACCCCAACTTGGTTTCTGAGGCCCACGAAGTGATTTTAGAAAGTGGGCAGGGCCAGGTGGGGCTTTTGCCCATTCAGTCTTCTGACTGGCTGTGCAGATGAAAAGGCATCCTATTAAACAAAGAGCTTTTCTCTGAAATGCTGAGGAGTTACTTCACTCCCCGACCTTTTCTAGCTAGCCCCGCCTTAGGTGGCAGCCAGGTTTTTTGTGACTGCACCCACCATCCTGTGTCAGAATTCCAAAGGTGCCCACTCTGGGTGTCCATTTGGCTTAACCGAGACAAATGAATCACCATCCTCTGTCAGAATTCCAAAGGTGCCCACTCGGGGTGTGCATTTGGCTTAACCCTAACCCTATTGGTATTTTTCGGGTATAGAGTAAGCCAAATACAGATCAGAGATCTCTTTCAGCTACTGATATAGCTGAGCCCGAAAAAAGCTGATTTTATTCAGCTTTTATTCGGGTTCATCCTTCCCTGGCTGCCCTGCCACTATCACTGGTCAGTTTCACTCCCCAGGGATCGGCTGTTAGGTTTAGGCCATTTAAACCTAAGGGGACAGTCTGAGGGGACTACAACTGACCAGTGGAAGTGGCAGGGGGACTAGGGGACCGAAGGAAGGAAGAGGTAATAAGAACATAAGAGACGCCAATGTTGGATCAGGCCAAAGGCCCATCCAGTCCAACACTCTGTGTCACACAGTGGCCAAAAATACCAGGTGCCATCAGGAGGTCCACCAGTGGGGCCAGGACATTAGAAGCCCTCCCACTGTTGACACATGTTTAAAACCCTTCCCTCCCTCCCCCAGCTCTCCGCTGGCTGGAGGAGGGATGGGAATGGAAAACATCTAAACATGCCTTCTCACTGTCTCTTTCGATCCCCAGCCCCACCCCCCACGGTGGCCGACCAGCTCCAGTTTCCTGGATGACACATCAGCACTTGACTCATTTCAGTCCAGCTTCCGCCCAGGTCATGGGACGGAGACGGTGTTGGTCACCACCTGCCCAGCCTCAGATGGTGGGAGCAACTGAAGCAGAACCTCCAAAGATGACCAGAGTGAAGAGGTAGGGTGTGGGTGCCTGTGCCCACCTCCTGAACTTCTGTTCCCTGGAGGTCAAGGGGCCCTCAAGAACACGAAGGCTTAGGGTTGCCTTCAGGAGACAATTCACCACCTAATCAGGGCAAAAACGACGGAACTGAGATTCGCTCCCTTGCGAGCCTGCGCTGGTTCTGCTTGCAGCTTTCTACATTCTGAAGCAAGTGTCCCCAGCATGGTGCCTGCGAGTGCCCTGGTGCCCGCCAAGTGTCTTCAGAAAGTGGGCAGAGTCCGATAGGCTCTTGCTGGGCCTTTAGAGATTTAGTTGGCTGTGAAGATTTTTGAAAAGGTTGCTTTGGCGACAAGGCAAGGATTTCCAGTGTGTGACTGAAAGGACACTAAGGCAGCCATTCTGTGGCTGCCGCAGCACACTATCTGAATCCCAAAGAAGAAGAGGAGATTGGATTTATACCCCGCCCTTCACTACCCAAGGGAGTCTCAGAGCGGCTTACAAACTCCTTTCCCTTCCCCTCCCCACAACAGACACCCTGTGAGGTAGGTGGGGCTGAGAGAGCCCTTGACAGAAACTGCTCTTTTTCAAGAACAGCTCTGAGAGAACTATGGCTTGCCCAAGGTCATCCAGCAGCTGCAAGTGGAGGAGTGGGGAATCAAACCCGGTTCTCCCATATTAGAGTCCGCGCACTTAACCACGACACCAAACTGGCAGAAGAAGAAGAAGTAGTTGTTGTAGTAGTAGTAGTAGTTGGATTTATACTCCGCCCTTCACTTGGAGTCGCAGATCGGCTTACAATCTCCTTCCCTTCCCCTCCCCACAACAGACACCCTGTGAGGTAAAAGAAGAAGAGATTGGATTTATACCCCACCCTTCACTACCCAAAGGAGTCTCAGAGTGGCTCACAAACTCCTTTCCCTTCCCCTCCCCACAACAGACACCCTGTGAGGTAAAAGAAGAAGAGATTGGATTTATACCCCACCCTTCACTACCCAAAGGAGTCTCAGAGTGGCTCACAAACTCCTTTCCCTTCCCCTCCCCACAACAGACACCCTGTGAGCACTGTTCCCTCTACGCTGAGTTAGTGTGAGCTAGCTCACACTAACTCAGCTTAGAGGGAACATTGCCTGTGAGGTCGGTGGGGCTGAGAGAGCTCTTGCCAGAAACGGCTCTTTTTCAAGAACAGCTCTTATCAGAACTACGGCTTGCCCAAGGTCACCCAGCAGCTGCGAGTGGAGGAGTGGGGGCATCAAACCCGGTTCTCCCAGATTAGAGTCCACGCACTAAACCACGACATCAAACTGGCTCCAAAGATGACTACAGGTTCAAAAAAAGGTCAAGCGCCTGTGTTCTGGAGAGTATCTCAGAATGCATACATACTTTCCGTCTTGTTCCCCCCCACACACACAGACACACTTTTCCCACACTCCGCTCACCCATTTTGACGACTCAGTCGGGCCAGCTGCCTGTTGACTGACACGGCTCTTCCGCAGGCCGGCATCCAAAGTGTCCAGAGCTCCCAGGATCGACTCGTACAAGCGGTTGGCGTTGCTTTCAAGCTCGCTGGATTGTTTTGCAATCAAACTGAGGGTTCGCTGGAGAACTAGCAAGCCGAGGTTCGTTTGCAGAGGGGAGGAAAAAGGTTATTTATGAGAGTAATGCAGCAGGACTCCTTGAGCCGTATTAGGCTGCAAGGGAAGATCTTAGTTCAGCATTTTTATAAGCACCTGGGGAAAAGCTGGTTGAGCGACTGGCAACCATTGTTCATTTCCAATCAGTAGGCTGAGGGCAGTCTCTCCTCAATAAGGCCCCGTGTGGCAGAGCCAAGGGAAGGAGTGGGGGACTACCAAACTTGCCAGGAGTAGACCCAGTGCACCACAGTACACTTAGAGTTAAGAACATAAGAGCCCTGCTGGATCAGACCAGTGGTCCATCTAGTCCAGCATGCTGTCTACACAGTGGCCAGTCAGTTCCCCTGGAGGGCCAACAACAGGGCAGAGAGGTCAAGGGCTTCATAAGAACATAAGAAGAGCCCTCCTGGATCAGACCAGTAGTTCATCTAGTCCAGCATCCTGTTTACACAGTGACCAACCAGTTCCTCTGGAGGTCCTGCAACAGGGCAGAGAGGCCAAGGCCTTCATAAGAACATAAGAAGAGCCCTCCTGGATCAGACCAGT